TGGGGGGGGGGGGGGAATCGTCCGGGGGGGAATTGTCCTGGGGAGGAATTGTCCGGGGGGGAATTGTCTTAGTTTTCCGCGATCTTCATTGGTTACCAGTCTCTCAAAGAATAGTTTATAAGATTTTACTCCTGACTTTTATATAATTGTCATGTCACACTGAATAATTTTAAAGGGCGACTGTCCATTTTATGTGAACAATATAATAGAACTTTCAATTCATCTTAGAACTCTTCGTTCCAGTGGTCAATTTCAACTCAAGCGAAGCGATACCAAAAAGACTTTAAAAACGTATGGAGTTTTGAGATTGCTGCACCAATTTTATGGTCCAATTTTACTAACGTACTTAACAAATGTTACTATTTTAAAAAGAATTAAACGCCTCTGTATTTAAGGAATATATTGGTTAACTTTGATATCTTAGTTTTAAATACTTCTATGTTAGTTTTTAATTAATCTTTGTAGTTTTAGTTTTTATATGTAAGTGTTAACTGCGCTGAGACGCAAGTGTAGCTCGGTTTAAAGAAATGTATTATTATTATTATTATTATTATTATTAAAATCAGTCATTTACAAATCACAGTAAATAAAACTTAAATCATATCTCACTGATAATGCAAATCGAAAATCCTGATAATCACGAATCACCGAGTATAATACTTCGTTTCACAAAGGGGAAAGAATAAAAAGGCACATTCACGAGTCACGGGAAGGGGGGTCTTCACAGATCATTATAAATGATATAAACATTTCATGCATCTCGGGGAAATAAAAAGTGGCTTTCACAGGTAACGAAAATACGTATAACCAATGGGACTCTTTTAGTTTAAAAGTTTGAAAAAGCACAATAACAACAGCGATTCTTATTCAAAGGCATTTGGGACGTCAGACAAGAAGCCAGCACTTGACTTTTACTCACAATAAATGAAGCATTTTAATAAGTACTTTATTCCAATACAATAGTTTTATGTCTCAAATGAAAACAATTTCCGATATTTATATTTCAATATTTTTATTGGCTGAATTAACTTTTATCTTATTTCCCTAGTTAGAAAGAAAAAAAAACAAGATAAACATTAAACGCCCTAAGCTGGACTTTTAGGAAATGACCAAAACAAAATTCATTGAACGGCCCTACTGTTAGAGATCTCAGTAATTTATTGATAGACATATTGTCCACAGCTGTCGTAAGCTGGAAAGTAGCTGATGTAAAGAATAGTACATTTCTCAAGACAGAACTCAGTGTCATGTTTTCCAAATGTGTCGGGAATCTAATCCGCGAAGCGGGCGACCACTGCGGCCCTAAACCACAGAGGCGTGCACTTAAGCCATAGGCATGCCGAGATGGGCCTCGAACTCTCGACCCACTACCCAATAATACCACCCTGGTAGCCGTACACTTTTCTACAAGTGTTTGCAAACATTTCGAATACGTTGCAAATACAAATTTCATGAAAAGTAACAATCTGCAGATTCATTTAAATTACACATCTCGTTCCCCTAGGCCTGCTACTTACAGATGCCTGTGATGAGTTCAATGACCGACTTAGAGACAGTAGTTTGACATGTTCAGTAACATATGATCAATGTAATTCTATGTAAGGATTATTAAAAATGTATATAAATATTTCAAAATAGAATCAGACGCGTACGTTCTCTAAAAATTGTATGTATATTTTCTTTAATTAGACTGAAAATAAACATTACAATGTACAATACTATACATATCACTTCTCACATACATATTTCTCAAAAACATACACATACATACATTCATATCCGTATACCCTACCATGCCAATTTATTGCATGCTACATGTATTTACTGTATAAAATAAATACATATAAAGACAATCAAAGCATTATTTTTTAGTTCAGAAAAAATTCGATGTCCCTGGATTACGGATGCCCTCCATTTTTTTATTTTCTGTAAATGTATTATTTTACCTGAGAAATTAGTAGATTTACTTTCCGAGAATCTGATGTGTAAATCTGAACATTGGCTTCCTTTTCTTCCCTATTCCAGTTTTTGAGTTTTTCACAACATCAAAGTTTACGATATGTATATTATCTTTTATTTTTCAGAATTAAACATATTGAACTTCACTTGATTTCGATTGATGTAAAGTTCAGTAGGTGTGCCAGACATCTAAGCTACTTGATCTGAACTCAAATTTAGTGAAAATTCCCCTGGTGATGGGTCGATCCTGCTAGATTGATCTAGGTATGGAAAGGGGTCTAAGTTAATCTACTGGCCAGTACTTGTATTTGATGAACTGAACCAGATTTGTCCTTGCTGTCATACTGATATGAAGGTGGGCTTCTGTTGATGAATCTGGAAAAATTTCAAAATATTCTATCAGAAGGTACCCATTGCTTTAATTGATTAATATGTCTTGAAATAAAGATATTATTACACTGTAAAAGAATATATTAAATACCCAACTGCAGGAATCATTTTAGTAAGCAAAACATGACGCTTTTTTATATTGTTCACTATGCATATGATGGAACTACTGCTTAATTATAGGTCTTTAATTGTTTTGATAAAAAAAAAATAAATAAATGAATAAATAAATAAAATTACAGGGAGCAGTTTTACCTAAGCTGTCAGCTGCGGTACCATATGGTCTGGAGTATGTCTGTCACACTGATCTCTATGACAACAGGTACAGATGATAAACGATGGCGTCCAGAGTCTCAGTAACCACCCACAAGTTCTGGTTTTTGCTCACTTCTTCCACAAGAAATGTGCAAAAATTCTGAAATGAAAAATCAACAAAACATCGATCGTAGATTTGCAGGGACTCTTTCTGAGTGCAAACAGCGTTAAGTGAATGACATGTCTCCTCTTGTTTCCAACATACTTGCATAATCAGCAGCTATTTTGTATTCTATTCAATGCCTTCAGAGACGTGTCATTCAATTAAGCTGATTGCACTTGGCGAGAGTCCAGGGACAGAGTTGGATCACTCTAAGTTGATCTATGGTGTCTGTGAGAATGAACCCATAGATATCAGAATATATATCGACACAAATACAATGTCTGTATATAAACACTCAAACAAATATCTTCTACACTGTATGAAGCAGATTCAATGGCATCTATAGGCAAGAGAGGTGACACATGAATTGTAAAGTTCTTTTCAAATAATCAGATATTTTCACCTCAACAAGTATGGTCTGTCTATAATAGAAGTAAAATATGTTTTTTTTCCATTGTTCCAAATCTTTTGGTTTGGTTTGGTTTGGTTTTCTGACCAGCCATCAATACTACTGTGTCTGTGCTCTTTCAATATTTTAATCTATCAACTGAACACAACCATTCATTAACAATGGCAGTATGAGTAAACCATCATCCTATTTACATAAAACCCAAAACGGTTCTATAATATTGATTCATATAATATTAATTCATGTTATAGGAAAAATATTATCTATTAGTAATAGTATTAGTACATCAAACCTGTAGCCATAGCAAATATTAAGACTGGGTTCCTATACCTAGATTGATCTAACATGATTGATTCATCTTCAATGGGTTTCTCGCTCAATTGCTTCCAGCGGCTTAGATGTCTGGGATGCCTACTGAAGCTGTTAAATGATAATAAATTACCCCTTAACAGGTTCAGTAGGCATGGCTTAAGTTGATTGCAATTTAGTGAGAATCCCCTTGGAGATAGATCGATTCACAGTTAGTACGATAGGGTCTGGGAATGGTCCCTAGGACCACATCACTTTTCTAAATGACATGACATTCCTGTACCAGTACATGTACCTGTCTGGGGTACCTTGACAATATGACCATGACAATAAATGACATGACATGCCTGTACCAGTACATGTACCTGTCTGGGGTACCTTGACAATATGACCATGACAATAAATGACATGACATGCCTGTACCAGTACATGTACCTGTCTGGGGTACCTTGACAATATGACCATGACAATAAATGACATGACATGCCTGTACCAGTACATGTACCTGTCTGGGGTACCTTGACAATATGACCATGACAATAAATGACATGACATGCCTGTACCAGTACATGTACCTGTCTGGGGTACCTTGACAATATGACCATGACAATAAATGACATGACATGCCTGTACCAGTACATGTACCTGTCTGGGGTACCTTGACAATATGACCATGACAATAAATGACATGACATGCCTGTACCAGTACATGTACCTGTCTGGGGTACCTTGACAATATGACCATGACAATAAATGACATGACATGCCTGTACCAGTACATGTACCTGTCTGGGGTACCTTGACAATATGACCATGACAATAAATGACATGACATGCCTGTACCAGTACATGTACCTGTCTGGGGTACCTTGACAATATGACCATGACAATAAATGACATGACATGCCTGTACCAGTACATGTACCTGTCTGGGGTACCTTGACAATATGACCATGACAATAAATGACATGACATGCCTGTACCAGTACATGTACCTGTCTGGGGTACCTTGACAATATGANACAGCAGCGGTTCTCTCCAGCGCCTCGCACCGGCCTACGACTCCGTGGTCACCCCGGCGGCTCGACAGCAGCGGTTCTCTTCAGCGCCTCGCACCGGCCCACGACTCCGCGGTCACCCTGGCGGCTCGACAGCAGTGGTTCTCTCCAGCGCCTCGCACCGGCCTACGACTCTACAGTCACCCCGGCGGCTCAACAGCAGCAGTTCTCTCCAGCACCTCGCACCGGCCCATGACTCCGCGGTATCCCCAGCGGCTCGACAGCGGTCTACTCCTGCTCCAATCATCGGACCAAGACTCGACGGTCACCCCGGCGGCTCGATATCGGTCTACTCGACTCCTGCGCTACTCATCTGCCCACGACCCAGCAGTCATCCCGGCGGCTTACGACAGTGGTATCTCTCGATAGCAGTCCAACCGACAGCGATCCATTTCGATTTGGTTTAATTTTATTTTCATTCAATTTTTGTAACCATTTATTCGCTATTAAATCATTTATTTATTTATTTACTTCGTTCTTGTTGCTTCTATCACCGTCTCGTCCTCAACATTGGTCTCGCGAGCCGGATTTCAACACCTACGGCATGGATGAACGGAGATTGAAAGCCGCAAGAACCGGACGCCTGGCTGCCTTCACTAAACGTGTGCTGAAAGCAAGACGGCTCATCCACGATGAATCCACTAGAAAACATCGGTTGTCGGAGATGAAAGACGAAATAACTACTCAACAAAAGGAATGCGAAACTGCTAACTTGAAATACATCGACATTCTGGAAGATTAAACGGCCATCACAGACGCCCAGATCTGGTTTGCTGACGTTGAAGAAACCTGCGCAGATTGTTTGGGAGAAATCTCCGAGGTTATACAAGTGACCAAGGAACAGCCGCAGCCAATTCAATAGCCTCAATCCCAAGAGCCTCAAGTCCATGATGTTCCCGTTGCACCTACCCCAGCACCAATAGACGCATGGATTGATGAACTTGTTCCATATAGTGAGACTGTTTTAGCCACACCCAATGATTCAGACAAGTCCTATGAAGAGTTACTTCTGAAGTGCATGTTCGAGAAGGATGCTCCGCGAGCCTCCATATCGCCATACAACGGGTCTGCACTAGACTGGCCAGGGTTTGCTGAACTATTTTATGAAGAAGTGCACAAGCAACCCTATTTTAAGGATACCCGGCGCATGTGGTTACTACAGAGCAGTGTAACTGGTCAAGCAAAACAACATATCGCGGGATATGGAATCGATGGTGCAGCATATGCCATAGCCTTGAAAGCTCTGAAACACAGATTCGGACATAGATCGCTGGTGGCCCGAGCATTTTTGGAACGAGTGACAGATGGCCCAACAATCAAGGACCGGGACCGGGTACAACTTGAATCGTTTTATAGTATATTATGTCAACATCCGAGACTGTATTTTTGTTCTAAAGCGTATGAATTATCAAGCAGACGTCATGAATTTGGACACGGTACGACGTTGTACACTTCGTCTCCCACTACGTATGAGAGAACGTTGGGCTGAGTGCTGCCGTATTCTGCGAGCAACCCACGAACCAACTCTAGAAGATTTGGAAGGCTGGTTATCAGACAGAGTAACTTCACTATTTGACCCACTCCTGCAGAAGATGTTTATGAGACGGTTCAACCCAGAAGTCGTAAAGCGTCCTCCTTTCACACTACTCGGCCTGTTCCTGAGGAGAGAAAACCTGTTGACCATCCATTCTCCAAGACGCAATCTTTGAGACCCTCTTCGCAGTTCACCTGTGTTGTTTGTGGATGTCTCCATGCACTTTACAAGTGTGAACTTTATCTAGCAATGACAATAAAGAAACGGTTTGAATGCGTCAATTCCCATCGACTTTGCAGGAATTGTCTACGGCCAGGACACATTGCATCTGATTGTACCTCCCCTGGGCACTGCAGAGCTGATAATTGCAACAAGAGACATCACACAACTCTCCATGACGTCCCACAGGAAGTTTACCACCCTCGGTCCACGTGTGTATCTTCCAGTGCAGTGCAGGCAGAAGTACAGGCCCCGTCAGCAACTGAAAAAGCTCAACCCAAGAGATCCTTTGCTACGCAAAATCCTAATTCTGAAGTTTATCTGCAAGTTGTTCCTGTGATCGTGACGTCACCCACCGGTGAGAAGATCAACACTAGTGCTTTACTAGACTGTGGAAGTCAACTAACTATGATACGCCGTGATTTAGCCAGTCAGCTCAACTTGTCTGGTCCAATGGAGATCCTACAGATGGGAACAGTAACTCGAGCTGAAGATTGCCAACGAGCACAGCTAGTCAGTTTCACTATTTGCTCAGCCATTGAAGACGATGATGCCTCTTTCCCAGTCCAGCAGGCATGGGTGGTAGACAAGTTGAACATACCCCCACAACGCTCCGTCAAGGTCAACAATTTGCCACACCTCAGAGATCTGAAAGATGTTTTACCAGACTGCCCTGATATTGGCTTGTTAATAGGTGGTGATGTACCTGACATCATGGTCCAGACAGACATCAGACGTGGTCCTCCGGGAACTCCCATAGCTATAAAGACTGGTCTTGGTTGGTCATTTCTTGGAAGATTGGCAGACCCGACTACGAAACAGCACCGTCTTCACGTCCTCCACGCTGACAGAGGGGATGCTGATCAACTTGAGAAAATTTTCACGACAGAATCATTTGGTTGCAAGTTTGAAGACAATGCAGCAACTTCCGTAGATGACAGACATGCCCAGAGCCAGTTTGACCAGAAAACCAGCTATAAATCTGGACGTTACTCGGTTCTAATGCTGTGGAAAACGAAGATACAGTTTTACCCTCAAACTACGTAATGGCTCTCAAGCGTTACCAGTCCCTGTGCCGCAAGTTGAGAACCAATCCAGAGCGATCCCGCAGCTACTCTGAAATCATCAACACATGGCTGGAGAAAGGTTATGCCAGAAAGATGACAGACAGTGAAGTCCATACACAGAGCCCCATCACCTGGTATTTGCCGCATCATGACGTTTACACTTCGAATAAGACCAGAGTCGTTCAAGACTGTGCAGCCAGATATGCAGGGACGTCGCTGAACGACAAGTTACTTACAGGTCTAGACCTCCTCAACAGTTTGACAGCAGTTCTACTTAACTTCCGACGGGGATCCATTGGTTTATCTGCAGACATTGAGTCCATGTTTCACAGAGTGCTGTGTTTGAAAACTGACAGAGACTGTTTACGTTTCCTGTGGTCTGATGATCTACTCATTGAACAGCCTGACATGTTTCAGATGTGCGTTCATCCATTTGGTGCCAAGTCGTCTCCCACGTGTGCCAACTATGCTTTGCGCTGTACAGCAACTGACAACACCGACAAGTTTTCTTCCCTAGCAGTTGAAACTTCACTGCGGAACTTCTACATGGATGATTTATGTACCAGTCAACCATCTGTGGACCTCGCCATATCCTTATCCCATGAATTGGTGGATCTACTGAGCATTGGTGGATTTCGTTTGACGAAGTGGGTATCCAACTCCAGAGATGTATTGTCCTCCCTCCCTGCATCAGAAGTTGTCATCAAGAACTTTGACCTCTATATGGATGCCATGCCTTCCCAGCAGGTACTTGGCTTCATATGGGACACTAATGAGGACGCCATAACGTTTAGAACCCTTCAATCGAACCCTCCTGCAACCAAGCGTTGTATTATACGCACAATTGCTACCATCTTCGATCCTTGTGGACTGTGTGGGCCATTTATCCTTGCTGCCAAGCAACTAATGCAGATACTTTGGAAGCGTGCGCTTGCTTGGGATGATGATCTACCAGAAGACCTACTGAGCATGTGGCAGTCCTGGTTAGCCGACCTTCCAAACATTGCGGGTATTCGAGTTTCACGCTGCTACTCACCAGACCTATGGGAAGCACCAACTGTAGAAGTCCATATCTTCTGTGACGGCTCCGAAATTTCGTTTGGTTCTGTTGCCTATTTACGCATTGTTTCCGCCAATGGTACAATTTCCGTTGCCTTTTTGCTGAGCAAGACCAGAATTGCACCCGTGAAGAAGCTGACGATGCCACGACTTGAGCTACAGGCAGCTGTACTAGCTGCTAGAATTTACCTCAAACTTAAGGAGGAGCTACATTTTGATGTAACCAAGGCCGTTTTTTGAACTGACTCGATGTCTACTCTGGGGTACATCAAAAACACAACTCGTCGATTCAGCCGTTTTGTTGCTAATCGCCAAGAAGAGATCCTTGATGCCACGTCTGCTGATTGGTGGAGATATGTTCCAACTCTCATCAACTCAGCTGATGATTGTACTCGACCCGTGTCAGCTATAGACTTAGCCAAACCTGGTCATCATTTCATTTCCGGGCCAGTTTTCCTGCAAAACCCAGCAGCCAAGTTGTGTCTCCTTAAAGCCTCCAGTCAACATTAATTATATATTTATTTTTTGACACTGTCGCTTCCAGTTAGTCGTGTTACTGCGAGAGGGTATGTCAGCGACAATTACTCAACTTCCCTACTTAATGAACTCTGCCAATAGTGAACGCATTCAACACCGTAACTGAGCAGTTTTTGCGTCCAGCTGCTATATAAGCTGGGCGTTTTCTACAGCGGTATGCAGTGCGGTATCGACACACTCCGACGACCACAGCTTGTAGCAACGACAGGCAGCTCGACAGAAGAGGTTCTCTCCAGCGCCTCGCACCGGCCTACGACTCCGCGGTCATCCCGGCGGCTCGACAGCAGCGGTTCTCTCCAGCGCCTCGCACCGGCCCACGACTCCGCGGTCACCCCGGCGGCTCGACAGCACCAATTCTCTCCAGCACCTCGCACCGGCCCACGACTCCGCGGTCACCCCGGCGGCTCGACAGCGGTCTACTCCTGCTCCAATCATCGGCCCAAGACTCGACGGTCACCCCGGCGGCTCGATATCGGTCTACTCGACTCCTGCGCCACTTACATGTATCTGCCCACGACCCAGCATTCATACCGGCGGCTTACGACAGTGGTATCTCTCGATAGCAGTCCAACCGACAGCGATCCATTTCGATTTGGTTTAATTTTATTTTCATTCAATTTTTGTAACAATTTATTCGCTATTAAATTATTTATTTATTTATTTACTTCGTTCTTGTTGCTTCTATCACCGTCTCGTCCTCAACAACAATATTATAAGTACAATTTTTGCTGTTCATGTTTGCAGCCGGTAACCTTTAAGAAATAAATTATAATGAGACTTTGTGCCTGTCCACCTTCATTTGAACTTTATGATTTTTCTGATTAACATTTTAATTGATAAAATTAGCAATGATATATCGATGAAAAAAGGGAGAAGGTTGAATTAAATCGCTTAACGGACCTTTATTGTACCATGTAAAGTTCATATAGTTTAGTAAAATAAATTCTGTTGGCGTTACAACATGGTTTCAAGTTTAACAACCTTAAGACAGAACATGGAAATCTCGCAGTATGATGAGAGCCCACAGTACCTTATTTCTGGGAGGTTTATGATAAAGGGGTTATTAATACTGTAAGGTCCGGCCCCCACACGCTCTGGTCATTCCTTTCACTGTCCTTGCAATGACAATGATGACGATGGTTTAAAATAAAACTCGTGCGCTACCTGCGTCTGTATGCATTTTATATGTTGTTTGTGATTTTTTGCTTAATATGTTATGCATAGTCAGTTATTGTCTAGGAGAAATACATGTACCTGTATGATGAAAATTACTTGAATGCGGGTTTCAGATGAACCAGTACTTCTGACGGGGGCAGTAGCACTGATCAACGAGCGCAGAGTTTACCAAGGAAATGTGTCTTTGGTTTAACTTTTACCGCTTAGTGCAGCACCAAGCACAGCTCAATTTGATGTGAACGTCATCATTATCATCTTGTTTGTACTTACTGATATAATGCATTTGAATTATTTTCTAAATCTCTATCACTCTATCATATTTCGTATAATTTATATTTTCTAAGATATCTTTTATGTATCAGTTTGAAAAGATTATTGGCTTGATTGCAAAATTTGTATTTAAAGCATCTGTAATAAGAGAAATTCATTAAAAAATCCCAATTATTAATTTTGCAACTTTAGATAAACAATAAGTCTTGTACAATCACAAATCAGAAATCAATCCTACCTTACAAGTTGTGGTTCTGCTTCCCGTAGTTTGCGTATAAGATCTGTCAATGTATTCTGTGAAACTTCAACGATGCACAAGATGTCCAAGATTTATATTCGATAGAGTTTATCTTAAATAAAATAATGAAAGACATAAAAATGTAATAAATTGATAATGGCAAAGATGAAGGTTTGACAAAGCAAGGGTGAAGACTTCTTGAATGTCAAATGGAGAAGATAAAGGAGCATAACTACAGTACTGAGTTGTCAGCAGTGACTCTGTCCTTGGAATAAAAAAAAATGACACAATATTTATATCGTTCATTTAACTGATAATTGGTGTAATTGTAGTTCTTCCTTCCTTTCTTGTAAATTTGAATCACTCCGCATTATGTTCTATATAATTGTAGCTGTATGCTTCATGAATTGCGTGTATAATAAATTTATAAATAAACCTAAATAAATATCTCACTGCTTAGCTTAAATATTTCGTAATTTCACTTACCTAGTACATGCGAAAATATTTTTTTTCAGTCATAAACTGACAACGCAAAATGTTAGTGCACCAATTGTAATTATGTTATATTATATTGTACAAGGACATGATAAATTATGTACCAGTACAGAAATAAATTGAACTGAAATGTCAAAAAACGTTTCCCTTCCACACCCCATTATAATTACCCACAGCCACAGTTTAACTTGTATGAGAATAAAATTTGGGAGAAAAATCTGAGCTAAACATACCCTGCTACAGAATAGGAAAAATAATTACAAAATTATACATGCACCGGTATATAGCAATATGGTTATTCAATTAACTGTTATACCACCATTTCAAATAACACACGATAATTTAGAACTCCTTTAAATGAGAAGAACTGTTGTTACATGTGCAATAACTTTTCCCTTGATGTAACCCTGCATAGGGAGATATAAGAGCAACATATTCCATTTATTTCATAACCGTTTATTCGCCCAGTGTCTTTACAATTTACAGAACAGAGTACAAGTAGATTGGCTAGTGAACAGATATGCAACAGGGAGTAATTACATCATTAATCATAGCACTGACCTAAAACAGTATGACCTAAAACAAGATTTAATTGTTACCTGTACTGACTGAATCTCCAATGACCAACCCAGGTATATGTGTATAATAATATATGACCCTTGCATCATCACTGTCAGTATCAGTTACTATACAATTAACTGCTGAATAGAGTACTTGACTGGCAAGTGAAACAGGTAGGCAACAGGGGTAATTTCTTCATTGTTCTTTACTCTGGACCCAAATACTATAAATGATGATATTGCCTTAAACATGAATTTAATTCCCTTTTGTAAAGATATCTACGCTAACTTGTACTCGTTCTATATATATTGAAGAATAACAAATCCTGTTAGTTGGTTCCCTGCACCCACTACCAGGGCTACAGATTGACTTTTCACAAGATATCCACAGATGTGTCTTTAGATAGACAGCCAATTGGGTTCTCTGGCTTTTGGAAAATTTCCCTATAATATCTGTTACCCTGGTAGAGGGTAAGTTCCCTGCATACATTTAGAGTAAACTCAAGTGTGTCAAAACACTAGAATTTTCAAATAGCATATAAACACCATGTGCTCTTATTCTATAACGCCGAGATAGACTACAGAAAACCCTTATTAATTAGTGCGCACTATTTACTAGTGTCTATGGTATGCTTTAGTTACCGGATGTTTCCCTGATAACGCAATGAAAACTCTACCCTCTGACAGTCATTCATCTGTGTTGTGAAATACCAAAATAATGTAACTACTAATACCCCCTTTACACTGGACGGCGTTCTTTCTGCGTCCTTTCTGCGACCATGAAATTTGGCATCGCTGTGGTCTTAATAAGGAGGTACGAGCATTGATTTTGTATCAGAATGAATGCTCAATGATCGGCCAGTTGTCGGGATGTAAAATATTATAATTTTTTAACTCTAAAATGGGGCCGTACTGCTGGACGCAGAAAGGACGCCGTCCAGTGTAAAGGGGGCTTAAGCAAGCTGTCACATCAATCGAATGTGATTCAATATAGTATATTTTGAACTTAAAATGCAATCGGCTACATCGCTGTGTAACCTGGCGAGTCCCCCAAACAGATCACGTGTTTCGCGGAACATTACGGCTATGACAATATCCATAATACTCAGTAGATAAGCTACAGACTTCCCTCAAAATTCCTAAACCATTGTCAGCCACAGCCTGGTTATATATTAAAATAAATTTCAAAAGGACATTGATGTGTTCCAAGAATAATGTTACTGATGGCGATGTAAGATGAGATGGATTCATAATCATCACACCCCGTGAATCAATGGGAGGGTATCGTTTATCATTTGTTTGTAGTTAAAATTATTCTTTCTTTTGAAAATGGCATGGTCGCTGGCCACTTAGTCACGTAACTTCCATCCTTTGCCCAGATTTGTCCTTTGGCGATAAATACACTGATACAAGCTATTAAAACAGCCATATAAAGAGATATTGCCCATTGCTCTCCATACCGTCTGTCTATTGGTGCAGTCTTCGCATTTGATGTGCCGCCAGCCAATCAGATCTATCCAGGAATGCCAAGCGTCAAATCAGATCACAGCTTTAATGTCACGTGCAATTGATTGATGCATGCCCCTGTATACCGGTGTGGTAAACACACGAAAACGTGTAGCAAAATCACACAGTTATCTGAGTGTCACTAATTGTGCCACCAATACCGGTAGGTCTTCGTCAATCGGGGTTGAGATAGGTAAAGTGTAGAAAAAACAACATTTACACCTCTAAATAGTTTGACCACCACACCCCTTAAAATGCCAACGAGATCTACGCTTTTAGGAAGTCCGAGGCACTTTTTTAATTTTCCAAAATACAGCAAGTGCGGTTCAGAGCCAGGAGTGTCTGTTTGCTCACTGTTGATAACTGTACAATGAAAAAATGTTGAATTATAAATATCATCAAAAACCTTTGGAATATAATTTCCAATTTAATTTCAGTGCGAGACGAGCTAGTGTCCT